TGAAAATAATATAATACGTACTCTGTTTTCTAACAGTTAAAATCATGATGGTTAAAGAGTTTTGCATGGTTAGCTTTAATTCTTATTGCCTTGGCAGACATCAAAATCAGCAAACACACTGAAAAGCACTAGATGGGTAGGAAAATAGCTTTTAATCTAAATACAGTACTACTTAAATTATTTGGGGGGGGGCATTCCTTAGGTGTCAGAGTGAAGCACACTGAATAAGAAGTGGTCAGCAAATGAATGCAATTTATTTTCAGGAACAAATTAGTCTTAACTGGAAAAACTGAGTTTTCTTGAAATATTTTTCTTCAGTAATACTGTACAATTGTTGCCCCCCAAAAAGGCAAGAATGAACACTGAAACTAAAATGAACTGGAAAAATCTGCCCTGACTAGCATTGGCTCCTTATCTCTTTTCTTTAATTTATTTGGTTTACATTTCTTCCTTCTTTTCTACTTTCTGTATAACATAACTTATTCTGAAAAGATTATTTTTTTATTATTACTATTATTTCCAGAAATGCAGTCCTATGAGGTGCACCTTAGATTTACTATGGCCTGAATTGTGATTGTCATTTCCAGATTTTATTTCAGACTAGGATCAACAAAATTATTTTTGTGAATATATTTTTCAAAAACTATCCTAGAAGCTATGTTCTCATGGTGCATGAGTTATAAAATTAGCTTGAATATTCAGCATGTTGCTAAACATTTCTCATTAAATTGAATTTGGGTATTTATTTTATTTATAAGTGATAAATTTGTGAGCAATGTTCAAAAAACTTCCACAGCTGATAGAATGGTTAGAGGGTTATAATTATGTAAATATTTTAAAGTATTTAATTTTATCAGGACTGACAGCAATCCAATAATATATGTATTGTTGTTTGAAGTTATATGACCCTGCGCAAACACCCATTTCCTGGTTTTCACTCATCTTAATGAACTGCATCTCTATAATACCTTTTTTGTTGGTTTTAATATGCAGATTAACTGCTTTTGAATTATTTATCATTCTGCTCCTTAATTTGCATCATTCATGGTTCTCCCTCAAGCCTCTCTTGATTTACTCTTGTTTAAAAGCAATACTTCTTTAAAAATATAAGACCTTCAATAAACAAATTTTACATACATTTTTGTTGGAAGCCAAGCAAAAAATAAATGTATGTATGTATGATTGAGTAGAGGGCAATTAACTCTAGCATAAAGGATTCTATGAGCTGACTGAAAACAGGAGAGGAATGAAATTTTAAGAAGTTCAATATAGTTGGTCCTTGAAAATAAAACATGTATCTTTTCCATGCTTCATGGGAATGATTTCTGCTTTTTCTTTGGAACCTGGGTTTATTTTTGCTATATCCTTCTATAAAAAGAAAAAGAAAGTCACAAACGTAGGCAGTATTCATGGCACAGCTATAACACAAATGTAGATGCCATCTATATGTCACATCATTTACTTACTGACTGACTGAATTACTGGATAGGTTTATATATTCTGCCTTTCTTCCAAGAACTGAAGGTGGCTTTATAGGGACCTCCCTTCATTTTCCACAGCAGCAATTTTGTGAAGTAGGTTGTGCTAAGAAAGAATGACTGGGCTACAATCTTCCAGTGAGATTCCGTACATAAGGATATGTAGTGCTGAATCTCAGCTTTAGAACGAAAAGTACACAGTAAGGGCAAGAAGCCTAACCTATGCAAAGTTTTGGGATTTTTATCATATGGAGCCTGAATTCTCAGAAAGGTAGAGCTAGAATAACCATTTTGTCCTATTTAAAATGATCTTAAGCATTTAGATTGTTTTATTTAAAATGAAATCAGAGTTGGAATGTCACCAAGCATAGTAATTGGTCTGTATTTTATTTTAAAAAATCATGTGCCCGGTACCTCCCAGTTTACCAGCGGTAAAACTGGAGATGTCCTCTCAATATAACACAGTTAGAGTTACACAATTTCAAGTCTTTGGAAAACCAGCTGCAGGTGGCTTCTAGAATGAACTTGTACTTGATTATCCAAGGAGAGTGCTACCCTGACATAATGGCAACTTTCGTTTTCATCTACAGGTCATGCAGGTGGTGAGGGAGCAGATAATGAGAGCATTGACCACAAAGCCTAGTTCTTTGGATCAGTTCAAAAGTAAACTTCAGAATCTGAGCTACACGGAAATACTGAAAATCCGTCAGTCTGAGAGGATGAACCAGGAAGATTTCCAATCTCGTCCAATTTTGTAGGTTTTCTTGCTTTTTTCTCTATCTCCTTCTTGCAACAAAGATGACTGATGTTTGTGGCCTCTTCAGGAATAACCCCAGGAAATGTAAATTATGTAGGGCCCTGATTGGAAGAAAGGCTTTCACATTTGCTTAGAATGCATTTATGAGGGGTTATAGGAATAAACAAGTATGGCCCTTTATGTATACCAAAAAGCTTTCTTCTACTCTTGTAGAGTCATTGGGAGTCAAATGGCATACATGTTTGAGAGAGAAAGAGAGAGATAGGAAATAATGTATTTGCAGCAAATGCCATTTTGACATTTTCCCCCTATATGTATGTGTCCTTTTTTCCTTCCTCTCTATGATTTTTTTTCTCTCCTGCCCAGTTCTTGACAGAAAAATATCACCATCAGTGAACCAGTCAAATGAAATATGGAACAGAAACTTGAAGCAACAGAGAAGCCCTAAAAAAGATGTTTTTGCTCTCTCGATGCCATTAAAAAAAAACAGAACTCAAAAACACATACATATAGGGGGAAAATGTCAAAATGGCATTTGCTGCAAATACATTATTTCCTCTCTCTCTCTCTCTCTCTCTCTCTCAAACATGTATGCCATTTGACTCCCAACGACGCTACAAGAGTAGAAGAAAGCTTTTTGGTATACATAAAGGGCCATACTTGTTTATTCCTATAACCCCTCATAAATGCATTCTAAGCAAATGTGAAAGCCTTTCTTTCAGTCAGGGCCCTACATAATTTACAGTTCATCTTTGCATATGTTCATATTAACTAGAGTGGTATGGTTGTTACTGCACCACAACTGATCCCAGACTGTGTGTATACATGTGGTAAAACTAGTCAACCTTGACCATTTATAGGATTTTCTTGATTGGGAACTTTAAGCTTCGTATTTTCACAGCCTGTCCATAAAATAATTAATTGAGCCATTCAGGATATTAAAGTGTCAGAATGTGGCATCCATATTAAATGCTAGATAGCCATGCATTTCTCTGCCTGGGCGAATTGATGTGTAATGTAATTTCTCAGTGCGCCATAAAAGTCCTTAGTCTCTTTGATTGCCAAACTGAGATTACTTTTATTGATTTATTGATTTATTTGGCTTGGCATAATGCCAATTTCTGAAGTCTCTTGGTAGTTTACAATCAATATGTTTGATCTTAACAGGATTGTTGTATTACCAGAAGCCTAAACCCAAAACAAAATTCTATACATTCAGAAACCTTATTAAAGAACATAGGAGTCTGCAGGAATTCAGGATTGCATTAGGATGTCTTTGCTGGGAAATGTATTCAGAGAGATGATTCACTTATCGGAGAGCTGACAATGGTTTAACACAATATTGGCTGCTCATTGGCCTCTATTGTGGGAGAAATGGAGCTAGTAAACAGCTATGCTTCGTGCTTGAAATTTAGGAGGCACATTTTCAAGGAAGCAGCAGTCCTTTTCATCTCTATGCTGTGTCTAGTTCCTTGTCTTTTTTGGGGGGAGAGAGTGAATCCCAGGGATTAAAATTCATTCCTTCAGTCTGCTTGGGTCCAGACAGCCCAAGTTCCAGGTACACAGCAGTGTCTCAGAGGCAATATTTCACTTCTCAAGAAAGTGCAACAAATAGAAGGCAAAGTCAATGGTGTGAGGCATGTTTAGGTTTATGGGTGGGATAAAGCCAAATTTCTCACTTCATATTGAACATAAATGTTTCTCAGAGAAAGATAGCCAATGTGTAAAAAAGTTTATCTAGAATATAAGTATGTGAGAGAGATTTCACGTTCCTTTTAAAATACTGTTCAGATTATTCAGATTGTATAAAGACAGATGATTTCTTGAATGTCAAGGCAAATGTTCTTTCCTCGTTCTCAAGAATATTTGGTGAAGGGAAACTATATTTCATATTTGGTGTGTGCAATGCAGACTTCTTTTCTAATGTCAGTACTGCTTCAGAAGGACCTAGTACATCTTTCCTAACCTGGAGAATTGGGGATGATGGCTATAGTAGTTCAAGGCACCTCCAGTTGGAAAGGATTGAAAAGGATGATCTAGGGAGTACACAAGGGCCCATGCCTCTAATTGCCGAGGCATGCGGCTCCATCCATAGTCAAATACATACAGTCTGAGACAAGATTTATCAGCAAAAGTGCAATACAAAAAAAATAGTTCCTCAGTGATCAAATAATGTTTGATATTTATGTACAGAGTATCTGATTTGCCAATTAATTGCCTAATCAAGCCCAGAGTAGCCCTCGCAAATCATTTTTTAAAAGAATTGTCAGCATTACCAAGCTTCTGTTAAGTAGAGGTAGAAAAAGCAACAGCTTATCTAAAGTTTACATCCAGTGCAGAGTTTAAATTCTTGCTTCTTCAAATAAATGGATTAGAGTTCATAAGCTGCAGAAAAAGCCTGTATTAACAGTGTGACTTTCTTTTTGAGAACCTCTCACTATGTGGGTGAGACCATCTCTATTTATTTGTGTTTTCCTTCCAGGGAGCTAAAAGAGAAGATTCAGCCTGAAATTTTAGAGTTGATAAAGCAGCAGCGTCTTAATCGTCTTGTTGAAGGAACCTGCTTTCGGAAGCTTAACAGTCGACGGCGGCAAGGTACAAACCAGGACAGCCTCTTTTTTACCTTGCTCCTCCTTTCCTTCTTGATAAAAAGATCCTTTTTATTCTGTGGCTAAGGTGCCTTCTAAATGAATGAAAATAATGCATTCAGAACAGTGTTTCTCAACCTTGGCATCTTTAAGATATGGCTGGGGAATTCTGGGATTTGCAGTCCAGAGATCTTAGAGTTGCTAAGGTTGAGAAACACTGCTTTAGAAGCTAAAGGCATTAGTGCCACTTTTATAATGCTGTATGATAGTCAGGAAGGCTTACTTATTATTACTTTAAAGCTAGCTATGGTGTTATGGTAAATACAAACCTTTTGCTGAAAGCAGCACATCTTTGTCTTGCTCCTTCCTGTCTATTGCCAACCCTTGGTTGTGGCAGCCCATAGAATGCCACTGAGGGGGAGGGAAGGATACGTTGTGATAATGAAATCCCAGCACATGTTTAGAATCTGCAAATATCTCAAGGAATCGGTTAAAGAAAAAATACGGGACTAATTTTTATGGCAACAACTTTGCCTTAGTTCCAGGTTGAATTTAAGTTCTGTTGAATATACGTAGTTTTCTGATAAGGTTTACAGACATAGCAATCAGAAAGCTATAATCAGCCTTGCTCCTTTTACGTTTAAGACTATTTTAAAGTAATCTGTTTTCATGCTATAAAATATGAGTTTCTTATCTTTACCATTTCAGGGAAAAATTCTTATGGGTCAGAAGAATGGGGGAGTTCAGTTGTTTTTTTCCTTTTTCCATTCTGTGATATAAATAGCTATTTTTAAAGATCTTAGGAATATTATACTAATTTTTTTTAGCCACAGAGTAAATGTATATGGCTAAATACATTTCACATGAAAGCTTCATAGAACCATTGTCTGAGATTCATTTCCACACATCATATATTTTCAGGTCGTGGATTCTTGAAACAATAAGGTGGAGTAGAAACTCCAGCAAACAAACAGTCTGAAAGTACTATAAAGTAAATATAATTAGATACAATATTGACAGTTTGATTGCAGCATGAATCATAGAAAATATTCAAAGATTATCCAATAATTTTCCCCACTTGTGGTAACTATGACTATTAGATTTGCTTCAGTCTCAATATTTGGCAACCCCTGAAGTTTACATCATATTTTACATTACCTTATTTTAAGTGAATATGAGGAAGAACTAAGTCCAGATACAGCAAAATAACATTTTTTGTTTTCTAAAAGTAGAGAAGATGAAAGTAGTAAGGAAGTTCATGGAGCTGGAGCATAAAATAGGGCTGCAAGATTTGATGTTCCACAAAATATTTATTTATAATTCTTACTTGTTCCTTGCAGTATAGTAATTGTTTGTTTCATTCAAGGTGATATTCTCTTTTTTATGAAACAGATTAACAACTTTATTTATTTATCAGACAAATTTTGGTATTGCCGTCTCTCCCCGAACCATAAAGTTTTGCATTATGGAGATTTGGAAGAGAGTCCCCAAGGAGAAGTTCCACATGATTCATTACAGGATAAGTGTAAGTAATTGACATTTAACAACCCTTCTTTTTTTAACATAATCTGTAACATTTTATACTGAGATTGAGAACATTATGATCCCAGCTAAGTCAGGTTACAAACTTCTTGAGAATAGAGTGAAGAAAAAGGGAATTATGAGACAGACAGACAGATGACTCACATAAAGGGATCCTTTCATCTATTTTGCTTTTTCCTTAATAGCCAAAACTTTATTGCAACATTTTACCTTGGGGAGATCTAGGAGTTTCCTTTTCCTCTGTTACCTGGAAATGCATAAAAAGGAAGTGATATATTATGAAGAGCCACTATTAGTTCTTTTGCTTCTGTTTGGAAATGTGTGCCAGCCTCACTTCACCCAGTTCTCTTCCAAGCTACTCAGCCACTTGGCTGCTATCCACAACTCCAGCTTTGTAGTATCACTAGAGTTCCTCAGACTCAGGCTCAGATGGTTGTACAGCAAGAAATCTGGAAAAGCATTAAAAATCCACTTGCACGTTACCAGGCAGGCTTTCTTTAGTTCCATGCCCTAGATTTTTATAAATAAGCTTTGTAAGCTACTTGCACCAAATTTTGTCTTTTTTAGCTCAGATGTTTTAAGTTCTCATTTCCCAGAAGCAAACTGAAAGGCTAATAGATAGCTAAACCAGAAACATATGCACTGAGTTGCCTTTTTTTTTTTAAATACTTACCATCAGTAAGATTATTCTTTATAAAGCTCATTTGTCACATTCTCTGAGGAAAGCCTAATTGAACAGCAGGAATCTTTCTGTCAGAGCTTTCTCAATGTTCTTCATTTGAGCTGAATAGGTCCACTGTAAGAGTCTGATATAGAGCATCTTATTTTAAAAAATGCCTTGCTATAAAATACCTTAATTAGCTGTTGTTCATAACACTTTATTCAAGAAATGGCGCAATGTAATATTGGTAGTATTTTTTTTTATTATAAAGACCAGTAATAAAGACAAATATACATTCACAAAACATATGCAGTGTAGTAGCTTAAAATGTGGACTGACTACTGTGGTTCATAGTTATAAGAAGTTCAATTCTCTCATTGAATTAGTGTAAACCAAAAAGTAAAGCAGTAGTAAAATAAATTAGACCTGTAACAAATTTAGCAATTTCATTCTACCAGCAACATCACTTCCAAGTATGATATTTCTGTAAACATAAGTAGCAGGTATAGCACATCCCTTTCCTCTTCCCCAACTCTGTCCTGATACATTTTTCCCACTAATTTTGGTGATCTTAATAATTTGGAGTAATGCAGCACACACCAGTCTTACCAGAAATGATTCTTCCAGTAGCAAGGCTACCTCTCCAACGCTTAGGGACAGAATGTTATGCTACTGCCACTTAGAACAGCACTGAAAATACAATCTGCATCTACAGTGAATCTGGAAAAGATGTCAAAATGACTTCCAATAAAATTGTTATGTACATTTTTACATTTATATTTGTGACATATGTACAATATATTCCAGAAAAAGGCAGTGTCTCATTAGTGGCTGAGTTGAGGTTCAAAATGTATGTCTTTCATACTTTTTTTTAAATTTATTTTTATTGCTTTTAAAACAATAACAGAAGAAGAGAAAAACAAAAAGGAACAAGACACAAAGATGCATAAACTGTCAAAAAAATGCACAAGTGCTTTAAAAAATAGGTGAAAATATACAACAGAAAAAAGAAAAAAATATGAGATATAATATGTTAGAACAATAAACAGTTACAATTCTATATATAGTTATCTAATGCAAATATGCAAGTATGTGTGTATACACACTTATATAACTATCATTTTTTTAACCTACTGTATTTTGTATAAATGAGTCCCATATTTCATGATACTTGTCCATACAAAGTCTACATCTACAGTATATGTCTTTCATACTTAATGTAGAAAAAAATATCAAACAAGTGCATGGATTTTTTTTGGCTTAAAATACGCAGAGTTGTATTATATTTATCTGGATCTGAGAAACCTGTCATATAATGAAGGAGAGATTCATCATCTGTAAAATACAGTTATCCAATTATATATGAGTGTTTTGAGAGTAGCCCCCTCCCATCCCTCATGCCAGACAAGGTCAGACGTATCCACTGTACCACTTTCTCTCAGGTACATAAGCAAAAGGCAGCTTTCCCTCTGCCCCTCACTCTCTATGGGGGGCTAATGGCAGAACTCCAGGTAAAACCAAACAACAAGCTATGTACTGAGGTGGGGCAGGGGGGTTGTAGGTGCAAGAAAACTATTGACATTCTCCAGCCTCATATTAAAGTGGGATTTCCAGGTTAAAAAGGAATTTTCAGATAACAATTTGAATCAAAAAGATTGGATTCAAGGATAGTCTGTTCTTTAGAGGAATGGGAAAAAGCTAGAAACATTGTATAATATTAATGTTATGTTGTCTTTGTGTGTTTAAAGCCTAGTGTCTTATCTCTGGTATTTATTGTCTGTACACAAGCTTAATAAGTGTGCTTTTGTAAGTAGGGACTTCTTGAGACTGAGCTTTCTCTAAATGGAAGCAAACTAGCATCACAGTGGTCTGCCAAGATGTTGTGTGTGATTTAAACAGTTCTATATTTTTATCTCCTTTGCCATTGAATATTTTGTTTGTGATGCTTAATACTGAAACGGGGTTTTTACATTCCCACTTTCCCTTTTTTGTAATAACAAAGTTTAATTTTATAAATCTTTGTGAGATTGATCTGTCTCCCAAATCTCTTGTTTTGTTTTTCCCTCTAATTTGCCAGAAAGTAATAAAGAGTGTGGGTGCCCCATCTGTACCACTTCCTGGGGTTTGAGGAGATTATTCCAGATATGCAAAATAACTAATGGCAGCAGAAACTATCAGATTTCTGTTCCAAGGCTGGAGGCAGAGCCCAGGTGTGTAAACCCAGAGACTTCTGGGAGAGGAGATTTGAAATATCTAGCCTTTCACCCTACCAGCTGCTAAAATGGTTGTATGGATGATAGGTTAGATCATGCCCAGCTGCTATGTGTTTTTATTTTTGTTTTATATATTTTGTGTTTTTATTTTTTTATTGTAAGCTGCCTAGATTCAAGTAATAGTGAGATGGGCAGCTATATAAATGGAGTAAATAAATAAATAAATAAAATTAGCTATGTGCTAACAAATTATTTTCTGACCACATTTATAAGCATTCTCTTAAGGGAATATAGGTTAAATGCACAATGATTTTTTTTCCTAAAAAAACAAATATTAAACTAATAGAAAGTAATTGTCTGAATATTTTATTAATAAATAAGATACAAATATGTATTAGTTTTTTTAATTTAAAAAATTATTTGCTAAAGTGATGAAATACAAAAGAAAAGTCTACATTAAATTATTATACAGTGAAGAGGGAAAAAAACAGAATATACAAACAACACAAAATATGTATAAAGATGTATTGTATAGGACTAGGTTCAGGGATGTAGAAGAGGCAACATTTATGCTCCGTTAATATTCCACTTACTAGGGAATAAGCCCCACAGAAGTCAACAAGGCATATTTATGAGTCGATTTCAATAGAACTCTTCATTCCCACAGATCCTGGGAAACAAAGATGGCAGTTGATAGTTTTATCGGTATGTTTGACAGTGAAATCCACTGATTCCTGATTATCCCTTTGGTTTCTTGCACACATCAGAGACGTCACTTGGTATTAGGGATGTCATTTCTAACACCACTTTCACCTTGCCTCTTCTTTGATGCTGTGTGCTTTCCATGACTTAGAGTCTGTCTCACCTTATCTTTTTTTTTTTTTCTTTTTCTTATCCGATACAGTGCCTGTGGCAGATATAAAAGCAATTGTTACAGGGAAGGACTGTCCTCACATGAAGGAGAAGGGAGCCCTTAAACAAAACAAGGTATCATTTTCAATTACATCCAGTAACCCGTTAGTTGCAGTCTTTGAGTTTGACAAAAGAGTCTGTTCCTTCTGCTAAAAAGGGCTTGCATGCTTCCTTTTGAATGTTCTTTTTCTAATTTGTTCATTCATCTATCTCAAATGCTCAGAGCAGTTAGCCACACTTCGTACTGGAATAACATCTCTACATAAAACCCATTGAATAATCATTCTCTGTATGCAAAGCGCTGACCAAAGCATGTCTAGTACAATAAAATAATCATAGTTTTCTCTGAAGTTCATCATTCAAAAAATTGTGGACAATGCTGTGTTTAAGTGCCATTGATGTCAAAGTGGAATTATGGAAAGGAGATTGGACCTAGAGACTCTGATGTGCATTTGGCCTTTTTAAGTCACACACACACCCAGGTTTAAAAGAACCTGTCATCTTAAGGTGATAAGCTCATCTTTTTTTCTCCAAAGTACAGTAAGTTCACTCCATCACAGTTAGAGTTTCCAAAAAACACATTTATCTTGTAGTCTTCATGCTTGGCAACTGTTTTCATGTTAATGCCTTGGCAGTAGCAGAAATGCTACTACTACAAGCAGAATATGAAGTATTTCCATTTGCCAATGACCAGTTTCCATTCTTTCAAGAGAAAAAAATTAGCAATAAGTCAAATAGAAATGTTTTATAATTTGCAATGTGGCCTGATTCACTTGTTCTGTCTGCTAGTCTTCAGAATTAGCTTTAATTCTATCTTGTCCCATTATTGTTTTTAGAAGTTTTTTGAATGCTACAACTCTTCTAATGTGATTTTTTGCAAAAAGAACACACACGCACACTCCGATCTACAAAATGAAAATCCCAGCAGTGTGTTCCTTCAATAGGCATTTAGATCAAAGATGTGCTGATTTAATTTTAACTACAGAATTTATTTAACTTTGCTTATTCACCAACATCCTTTTTTGCAGCAAACATTTGGAGGGAAAGAGGTCTTGAGACCTTTTTTTAAAAAATACATAACTACAATTGCTTGAAGCATGCCATTTCTTGTGCTACCAGATGAACAGTATAACACTGAAGAAACAGTTCAAGAAATGTCCATAAAAAAGATAGATACATCTTTCTTCAGAACATCTTTGAGTTCCAAGACTAATGTTGGACGTATGGTAATTTATGAGCTTATGCACATTCAGAGAAAAAAAAATGATATGGTTCCCAGGGTCTACAACAATAGATGTCTGGGGACTGAATAGTTGGATTCTCTTCAACTTAAAAGGTTAGGAGAGAAATGTTCTCCTTGACAGCTGAACGAGATGTGGCACTGTTCAGATTGTTTGGCTAATGTGGGGGATGAGGGAATAAGAGTTTTACAAACAAAAAAGTAACATATAGCAAGTACAGATAGGTAAGTCAGATCAAGACTGTGCTAGAAGGTAGAAGGCATTAGAGAATTCCTGTTGATGGGACAGTGGAAAGGTCAGGTTTTAAAACCCTTCTTTGTATGCTATGATTACAGCGTAGCTTGACTTTTACTGTGTCTCCTGTTCATTTTTTTAAAAATACAAAGCCAAATAATACAGGCATGGAGTTTTCAGATGGGAATTCATATCCATCTTTTCTGTTGTAATTCCAAGAAGGGATATGCCATATAATTCTTCTGAATATGTAAGGTAGCTCTGAGAAGGAGAAGACTGCACACCTGCATTGTTCTCATTATTTTCTCTTGAGGAACTTACTCGATTCCCCATATGCAATTCCTTCACTTCACAGAGAATATTATGTTGTTGTATTGTTTATTACATTATTTTCTCTATTTTGTTCTTTCCTTTTCCTCTTTGTTTATGGAAGAGCACTACAGGCTAGATCACCACTGAAATACAGTAGACATTAGATTGAATAGCCAATCCAGGATATCAAGATCAGAGCCCAATTATCACCAAATATATAAGCATTTACTTCCCATGCATCCTTACTTGATATGCTAATTTTATAATTGAGACAATGTGTCCTATTTTGTATTAATAAATAAATACTATCTTCATTTGTTCTATTTCAGATAAGTATTCTAATACAGTATTTACTTATTTTGCGATATGATCGCTCACTATTGCTTTGACATGTTGCAAACTTAGAACTAGGAAAATATTGGACAGCTCTTAAGAAGAATATTTCCAACATCTGTCACACTGAGACATTTTTCTCAACAGAAAATGGCATGGTGTCAACAGCAGTGTTATTTCTCTAAAAATGGTTTTTAAGGTTTTGAAACATGTTCTTTTGGAGCAGTAGGTTGTATATACAATCAGACATCATAAGAAATTTCTGTGCTTATGTCTTTTTAAAATAAGAATTAATACTTATGCTATTAAGATATTAATATTTATTATATTTTTCCTTAATAAGTTTTCCTAACTTACAAATGGTGTTTTTCTGGAATAACGTGATTATAATAAATTGAATTTGAACAGTTTGAGAAAATAAAAGAGACTACTAGTATTCTTCATAGCATTTGTAGTCTCCATTATCCCGAAATTGTACTAAATGTTCCAAGGTTTAAGGAACTACAGAACTGTCCCATGGTTAGAGATACAATTTGTAAAACTATGATGGATGCCTCTAGTCTTCTGAAGTAGGCTTTTTATATAACAATATAGTTATTATATACCTTATCTAATCATTATTTTTGGTTCTAATTTAATAAAAAGAGACAATAAAAGCTAATAAAAATGCTAAATTTCATTTCCTCAGTGGCTTGTTTCAATAAGTTTCAAAATGTTTGTCTTGTTCAGTTGAAAGGGAGGGAGGGAGGGAGGGAGAGATAGGGCTATATGGCTCAAAATTAAATGTGAATTTAGTACCAATGATATCTGATTGGGAACTTAAACTTGGAGGATATGCAGCAATGGCAGAACTAACAGTATACATACAAAATTGAAGCAAGAATGGCTTCCATATTTATCACACGTTATGCAGTAAGGCAGATACCAACATTTAGAGCATGGTTTTTAAAGTTTATATCAATAGATATTGCAAATCAGTGTGAGAACAAAGAAGGGGGGGGAAGTCAGAAAACAAATATTTATATTGTTTTTAGAAATGTTTTTCTTTTTCCTTTGTTTTCCTTTCTTCTTTTCATTTTACGATTTATAAGCAATAACATAGTGAAGACTTCGTTATTAAGCTCCAAAATTCTTATTTCTTTTTTCCTTTTTAATATTATGAAAACAACTCAATGTACTTTGCTTGGTATCGTTTATTAATGTTACATTGAGCATCAGTTGTACAATCGTAGTAACTATCTGCCATCTATAGACATATATATTTGAAAATATAAATCTGTTTTCATTTTTTTAAAAAATGCATATAGACACACACACACACACACAAATAGATGTGAATTGAGATTATGAAATATTAAATGTAGTTGAGTCTCTTTTTTTTTAACTTTATTATTATTGTCTCTTTTCAGGAGGTGCTTGAACTTGCTTTCTCTATACTATTTGACTCAAACGGACAGCTAAATTTCATTGCGCCTGACAAGCATGAGGTAAATCTGTGTTTCTGTTTTTAAAAAATTGAAAAGGGGAAGAGAAGTTATTCTTTCTGGCCACTAGTTGGGATAAATAGCAGTTTATCTGATTTTTTTTTTTTTTTTTGGTCAAATAGCTTATTATTTTAAAGGATTCTGAAAAATGCAAATATATAATGATAGTTTGAAGCAAAATGGCAGGATATCTTAAACTAAACTCTAGGAATTCAAGATGACTAACAACATCAGTGATGCTGGTAATTTAAGAAAACCAACAATAATTAACATCTTCCTTTCAAGTTGGCAAAATAGTGCAAATATTAGCGCAACAGCCATCCAACTATTTAATTGAAAAACCAGATTCAGTCAAATTAAAATATACCCTGTACTGTTTGCCTTCTCGAAAAGGGGAAAGGTCTTTCTCATCTTCTAGAAGATTATTAATTAAGAAGTCAGGTCTTTTGTGAAAGAGGGTTCTAGAGTTTACGTCAACCACCAAAAAGTCCATTCTGTAACCCCAGTTCATGTTCTATTTTTTTTTCCTATATAATTTTTTATTAGAAGTCTTAAAAAGCAAAGTAATCCCAATTCATATTTTCTGGAATGGATTAAGTATACAAAAGAGTCTCCCAAGAATGATAGCCAGTCTCTGATTAGCAATGGAACTTTGAAATTTACTTGGAAATAAACTAGAAGTCAATTTGTCCCCTGTACATGGACCCTGTTAACAATCAAACTGTTACATTCTACAAAAGCATGTAGAATGCACACCAACATTTCAAATATATGCCACCTGGGCCAGACCTGCATTCTCCAAAAATGGGGGTAATTGTTATGACAGTCTTAGCAGGACAAAGGTATTTTGGCCATAATGCAGTCCTGCAGACCAGAGCCTGTATTTTAAAGCAAGGCACCACCACACCTAATGCAGGATGAACTGCAATTCCTAGGCTGAAGTGCAATTTCTCTCCACTTCTGACTTCTCTGTATTATCTTTATTAACCCCACATCCAATCCATTATCATTTCTAGGCAAAGAGTTCAGGGCATCATCAATCCTTTAAAAGAAAAAATTAGAATAGGGGATCAACCCCATATTAGTGACATCAAATCTCAAGCCATGAATGGCTTTCCCATGTAATTTAATGTAAATATTAAACAAAACAGGAAACAAAACTGAACCTGATAGGTGCTATAAAGTAACAGCCAAGATGCTGAACAGGAGTCCACTAGCTCTGTCTTCTGAAGCTGGCAGTCTAGTGTTACAAATGTATTGTAGTCAAGAGACCCAACATGAAATATAATATAGATATTGCAGAACTTAATACTTTAAGCAATAGGTGTGTGTGTATATGTATACATGTACATACAGACGCATATACACATACCCCATAAATATTTAACACTGGTTAGCTATGAAGATTGTATCCAAAATAATTCAGTCGTTCCTAATTAATTAACTAGCTGTGTCTTTAATTTGATAACCATCTTCTGAAACTGGCACTCCAGGAAATGTTGTATACTCTTTAACAGCATACTCCTACTTCTGATCCTTGCTGGCTAGTCCAAAAGGGTATCATAGTTGATGGTACTTGGAAGCTGCTAAGAGGAAAGGCCATCTTAGCTCTAAAACTGAGATGGATATAGAAAATGCATTACAACCCAAAAGATCAGAAATTGTCTAGTTGAATGAGAGGGTAACGATTGTTGATAGGCTTATAGCTGCCATAGCGATCACAAATTCCAGAGCTACCATACTTCTGACAGAAACCTCAGTGTAGACCAGAGGTAGCAAACTGGCAACTCCAGAGCTTTCAAGTCCTTTTTTACCATAATTGCTAAAAATGGGGGGGGGGGGATTTTCTGCCATTCTG